CTATTTTTCTTCGCCCTACCTCTTTCCTTTTTATTCTTGTTTTTGCATTCTTTTTCTTTTTCTTTCTTTTCCTTTTCGTGCAATCTCGGGCTTCTAGGACGTTGGAATTTGACAAGCGTCACTTCTTTTTTTTTACTTCTTGTCCCACAACTTAGACCCGAGCCCTCATTTTCGACGCACTCATGTCCCCGAATGATTTTTATTAACGAGATGATGACAGAGGAGTGTCGGGATGCATCGTATTTTCTAGGGCTTGTTGCTTTCTATAGGCTTCATAACTTAGAGATCAAAGGGTGGTTCTTAGGGAGACGTTTCGTGCTTGGTTCGTAACCTCTACTCCATCTAGACTTTAGGAGATAAAATCATCCCACGTAACATCCATTCGCTCTAGGGTTGGATCAGCTATTTCTACCTCACCCGACAATCCATTCAACTCTTTAGATAAATCTAAACTTAGCTCCTAAAACCTTACCAAACCAATCCTCACTCTATACCCCCACATTGTTATCCGGCCAAATTTTCGAGAGAAAAACCTTATGCAAGTGTATGTGTGTGGTCCTAGATCTATATGCACATATGCAACCTATTAGTGGCGATTCATGCAAGTATGTACAAAATGCAAGACTCGTTTTTTTTTTCCCGATGAATATGGAATGCATGATTCTAAGTACAAATGATGCATGATGTGTAGAGCTCATGGGTACGATGTATGTTAGTGTCACTCCTCCCCCCAGACTTGAATCAAACACCGTCCACGGTGTTTACTCTCGTCTAGTGGAGAGTTTTCAAAGAGAAATAAGGAATGGATGGAATGAAGGGGGTGATTGTGTTACCTTTTTCGATGAGGCAGAGTCGCATTCCAATTTCTCTTTTGTGGTTGTCGTAAGCCCATGAAACCTATGAAATGTGAGGGAACTACTCTCGACGTCCACGAACTTCCATAAGATGTCTCCGTTCTGTTCTTTGACTAGGCCATTTTCCACGAGATGGATGAAGTTGATCGTGTCTCCATGAATGGCGTCGTATACGTATGGTCCGAGGTTGATTCCTACGCTCTCTGCAATCAAAGTGACTATACCTCCAAAACAAATTGAATCAAGATCGGAAGAGAGTACCGAGTGTATGTGGAGGATGACCCTCGAGGCTATGTCGGCGACTTCAGGCTGAAGTGGAGGGGTCCCATGAGGAAGTTGAGTTCAGTGATTGAGACGACTTGTGGATCTTCTCGTGCGAGTAACGCGCAGGCCATGAACTGCTGGAGATAGCGAATCGCGGGGTGTCGGATCATGAGGGCTTTGAGTTCCCATGGGCGGAAGGTGCCCGCTGCGATTTCCATCCAGAAAGTTTGGGCTTTGGTGACTGTGATCTTCGGAATCGCTGCATTGGTGCTCATCTCGACGCCTAGAATTTCTGCAAGTTGTTCCACCAGGAGATAGAATTACCGCCCTTCAAGTCTGAAGCCAAAGTAATCTTCCCGAGGGTTACCATTCGTCGGGATGAAGCATTTGAAGGTGCAAGCAAATTCTGTTGTATTGGTGCTCATCTCGACGCCTAGAATTTCTGCAAGTTGTTCCACCAGGAGATAGAATTACCGCCCTTCAAGTCTGAAGCCAAAGTAATCTTCCCGAGGGTTACCATTCGTCGGGATGAAGCATTTGAAGGTGCAAGCAAATTCTGTTGTCAGTCTTCGGTAAGTCCGAGGGTTGGCTTGGAAGAGGCGATCCCAGCCCGCGAGTTGAAAAATATCCCTGATTCTCTCGGAGTTGCCTTGGTAGAATGCGGTGATGCACAAACTTTGAAGCTCTGATTCGTCTGTTCTGGACTCGATGTAGGACGAGTGCTTCCTCGTCGGATTGGGGTTGGAATGGAGTTGGTTCCACAAAAGGTGCATCGACGTTGATGGGAGCCGTGTCTACAAGACTTGAGAAAGGCATTACTTGCGGCTTGAAGTCATGGAGGATGGGTATTCTGTCCGAAATGTATTTGCGCGCTTTGCCCCAACGACTTCTGGAATCCATCTGAAATAGCTGAAAAATATCAAGAATTCGTCAGAGAAAATGGGCGGGCCGCTTGCTTTTACGAGCGGTCGCTCGTTTTCGTGAATTGAAACGATTGATTCCAGGCGACCGCTCGGGCGGTCCGCCTGAAGAGGCGAGCGACCGCTCGTTTTTCATCTGCAAGTGGGCGATCGCTCGAAAAACCGAGCGGTCTGCGCATTTTTTCTGTGAAAAATTTTTTTCTGACCCGATTTCGAGGAAATGCTGCATAAACATGAAGTCCGAAAAGATTATCAACATTTAAGTACGC